GGAAGCTCAAGGACCTATACGTGTGTAAATATTTTAGAAACCGAAGCCGTATACAAGTTTTTAAACCTTTCTAAATGTATACATATTTATGCGGCTGACTGTACTTATTTGAATACTCACTTTCTAGGAAACGGTTGTGTTTCCAATTCATCACCGTCGTAAGGAAATGTATCCATAACACCGTCGTATTGCTCTTGATCCGCTACCTATGAACAAAGGTATAGCTTTTGAATTTATTTTATTTAAAAAAAAAAAACAATTTTGTTTTTTTTTCCTGAACGATAAATACAATTTTGTTTTTTTTTTCAAAATTATAAGCTATGAAGAAATCAATTAAAAAAATAAAAAATTTCAATAAAAATCGAAAGTCGGGATTCAAACCACTATAGGACTATTGGTATTTCGTACCTCAATAGGTAGGAAGGCGGCGTTGTCGAGGATGTCCCTGAAGACAGAGACCCAGCGCTGCATCAGCACCTCAGTGTAGTGCTCCGCCATCTCCTGCAGCACCGGCGGCAGCGGATCCGGCGGCAGACCGTAGCACCTCAATACAACAAAATCATTATGTAAACGCGTCAAATTCATTATGTTTATGTAAAGTTTTTATAACAAAATTTGTATATCAAACATATCTGACAAATTCAAACAAATCCACTATGGACAAAAGATTTAAAAGTCTAGATAGATGGATGGATGGATAGACTACAAATTATATTTTTTTGTAATTCCGTACGGAATGAGTCGCGGGACACAGCTAGTATGTAACAATTTGACAAATACTTGAAAAACTTGTAAAAATATTGTTATCTCTATTTTTATCAATGAGAATAAGAGAGGGAGAGAGAGAGAGAGTGAGAGAGAGAGTGAGAGAGAGAAAGAGTGAGAGAGAAAGAGAGAAGAGATACATTTTGGACATAATAATCAAGAAATAATTACTATGACTTACTTGAGAGTATTAATAAACAGCATAATTTGATGTTTGATACTCAACATTAATGTTGGATCAGTGATAAGTGATGTGTTAGTCCTCAATGTAGACGCTACTTTATTAACAGACATGCTCCACGTATCCAATAACCAGTCTTTGGAGACAAGACCAGCTCCGGTGGTCAACAAATGTTCTTCCAATATGAAGAAACCAAGGACAGCGCTTAAGTAACTTTTCATTCCTTGAATTGAGTCATGCAAGTTACCCACAGCCGGGATTAGGACTAAACGAGCTTGTTGTTTGCGTTGTGCTCTGAAATTAAAGCGTTAAATGTGAATGATTCCATTCATTCACTCGTCCATTCGTTCATTCGTACGTCAATTCGTTCTTAAATACTTGACTGTTAATTGGAAACTTTAAAACATATTCTTCTTATGTCAGATTGTAAGAAAAAATTAATTTTAAGCTAAATTTATGAATCAACTAAATTATTTTTTAAATCAAACTATAAATTTAACGTAATATTTAACTCTGTAATTGGAAAAAATCTTACTAATATCATAAATGCAAATGGATGGATGGATGTTTGATAGAAGGTATCTCCAAAACAGCTAAACGCATTACACTAAAATTTGGCATAAATATAGAACAGTCTTGAAGAACACATAGGTCAATAATTTATTATAAATGCGTAGGGGAAGTCGGGGGCGACAGCTTGTATTTCTCATAAAAGTAATTCACCTGTAGTACTGAATGAAATCATTCTTAGCTCCGAGAACACTGTGTATATGAAGACATCTATGTAAAGGACTGAAATCCACTAATTCGTGCGGACATTGCGGACCAATATTGTCTTTTCCTAAACCTCCCATCATTTCTGAAAAAAAAAAGTAAAAAAATTATTAAAAATTTAAAGAAGATTTTACACAGATAGAACAACAATAGCCACTATGATACAAAAAAGGTTTTAGTTTATTATAAGGAAATATTATTAAATTTACCTTTTTTATTTTTAACTATATTTTCCAAACTCCTTCCGAGCATATCTTGAGTTTGTTTTAATGCCATCACACCAACCTGAAATAAACTTCTACATATTAACATGCAAGAACAATCTGTAAACCCTTTATTCTCTTGAACAGTTTGACATCAGTTCTGTACATAAATCATACAAAAAAACAAGTCAAATTATTTAACAATAATATTTTTCAAATATAATATTTATAATATAAATATCAAAATCAACAGACCTGCGGACTAAGTTTCCGTATATTCTCTAAGAAATCTCTCAAATCAGCCATAGACGCATCTTGTATTGCTTGTCTGAGTCGAGGTATATCTGCTGATATCTGGGAACACCATTTATATGGTCCCACTCGAGGTAGCAATACATGCTCTAGTTGTTCTAACGTCTTTAGAGCTGGGTAGTACCTGGTGATCGGGAAAAGTATTTATTGTAATATTACTGACAATACAAATACTACCTGCTGTACAAATAATCCTTGATTGAGTGCTAAGGAAGTCCCTTAGCATAGGTTTCTGAGTGAAAAATAGGTTTTTAATTTAATTTGTAAAAAACAACATCAATCTAACTATAGTGTCCTTCTGACAATAATCTTATTAATTTTATAAATGTGAATGTTTAGATGGACGGATGTTTGTTAGAAGATATCTCTAGAACTGCTTTTTGGATCTCGCTGAAATTTGGCATAGATGTTGAACATAGTCTGGAAGAACACACAGGCCAGTTAAGTTTTTTTTAATGCCTCAGGGACGGAGCTACTGACGATTGTAAGTTCTAAAATCAATAAAGTGTCAATTATCACCTCTTAGCATCAACTTGAGTTTTCAATTTAGAATATGTAGTGAGAAGTGGTAGACAGAGTTCCATCTTTTCAATTGTAGCTGCTATATTCAGCTCAACTCTACGGGCCCTTATTAATTCCTCTGCTCTTGAGCAAAGACCTAAAAATATAACATGAAAAAAATATTTATCCATCCCATTCTTCTAGAAATAACAATTTTGTTCTGGCACAAATTTTACTAATGTCATAAGTGTGAAAGTTTCTATGGATGGATGGATGGATCTTTGTTAACAAGGTATCTCTGGAGCGGTTCAACAGATCATGATGAAATTCGGTACTTGACTCATAGTGTTTCCATAAAAGTACATGGTTATGTATATTCCTTTAATAGTGTGTTTTTTCAGAATAATTAATTAAAAAATGCATATTTAAAGTGTTTAAACAATGAAAAATTACAATACTTACTGTCAGTTGTCTCTTTAACATTAGCATCAACATTAGATATCTCCGCATGCAGTTCTTCAGCATGAGACCTCACTTGTAACAATTCACGAATGGAATCTATGAAACCCTGGAAGTAGAAACTATTCATTAAAATATACATACATACTTGTTATAAAATAACTTTGGTACATATACAATGGCTTGTAATATATAATTTTGTCTGGTGATAACATAACAAAACTTTGTTGGAAAATAAAGTTTACAAAGTAATTTATACTTTGCCATCTATTCTGATCACAATATAGTCTTGAAATATGTTCTGATTTTGTCACCCATGAAGGTTTTTCTATTGATCACTGTATTTTTTCTAGCATATAAATTCGTCCAATGTTATGTATAGTAACACAAGTGCTTACCTGATAATAGAAATTACACAATTTCTCAATCTCTTTGTCATGTTGTTTTATTCTTTCATCCAATTGCTGTACAAAAGCTTCATGGCCACCTTCCCCTTCGTAGACTGATCGGAATGCCGGGCCCCAGTAGTCATCAATACCCTCTATCTCCTATGATTAGCGGATATTTAACAAAAAACATAAGTAGGCAAAATATGTGGTAAAAGGCAGACTTTAAATATTAAGAATCTTGTAAATTTTTACATTTTAACCATGTATAACTTTTACAATTTTTACTTTTTACTTTTGTTTACAAGTTTTATTGTATAATAATGCAGAAATTTTGAATATTTTGTGGGTGGTGTCTTGGAAACATTACCTGAATAGTAGCGTTGGTCATTTCAGGAGATTTTCAAATCAAATAAAATGAAGGTCGGCTCTCCGAGCTTCACTATTTACATAACAGAATATTGGATATAAGCCTGATTTATTGAGGTATATGTTTTTTAATCAATCAAAAACTCTATAAATATCAACGACAGAAAACTTTATCTCTTGACAGCAACAGTGACAGTGACAAATGTCAACTGACATTTTTATTTAATTTTATGACCTGGTAACATAGACCTTTAATATAGTTTATAGTATTATTTTGGTAGTTTAATTAATTAGTTTTATTAAATAATTTTAAATTGATTTATTTATGAAGATATTATGATACTATAACAAATTAAGTATATTTTTACTTAAAAATTATTATTTTACTTCATGTATAATAATACATTTTTTGTTGTAATGTTTTAAAAAGAATTGGTTTAGCCGTTTGTATATAAGTTTAATATAATATCTCACGAAAGTTTGAATTACATAGACCTTTAGGTCATAACATGTCAACTGTCACTGATTGATCTGACAAAGAGTAAACACTAAGTAAAATTTCTTGAAGAAAATAATCGTTCTCCGTAATTCTTCTTACTACTTTTTTACTCTTAATCTTAAGTCTTCGGAATTATTTTATTCATGGTTGATTTTAATAATAATCTATCTTGAGGAAAGTCTACAATGACAGGCAAACTAAAAATATTGGCAATACAATGTCACGAGACAAGTTACGTTTTTAGAGATGTGACATTCGTTAAAGATTGGTATGGGTATAATAAGAAATACCATTAGCTTTGACCCAAAATTAAAAAAAATAATAATGCACTGCACAAAACTGTAAACTATTAAAGAAGGCTAATAGGATGAATTATCAAACAACATATTTCTGTACGCGTTCGTATTGGCTTGAATGCGGTCACATTCACATTACATAGCAAACTATTCAAACCAATTTTGTTTTAGTTTATTCTTAGTAGCGTTGAGGTCGATTGGTCGAGGCACTGAACATCACTGTTTTGTGCTTATGTCAAAATAACTTCAATATACACATACAAATACAATGTATACGTCTACTTGCTGAATTATCTGCCAAATTATTCGGCTGCAGCAAGTGGTAGCAAGTAGTGGCTAAACAGCGAGTGATACGTGTATAAATTTGCGTAAAGGTGCAAAAGCTGATAAACGGCCAGATTTTTTGTGTGATCGATGTGGCCTTAATTTATTTAATAAGATTATTAAACTCAATTTTATTGATATAAGTAAGTCCGGCAACCATGGCTCACTGTATTAGAGTTTTGCATGGCCAGGTAAGATTTAACATTAAATTTATCCACGTGCAATGTAATAATAAGTAATAATTGCCCTTATTAGCATAATTGCGGCCTACAGTTATCAGAAGTTTGTTTACGCCGTTATCAATGTTATTAAATTTACTATTAAGTATTGAACGGACAGGTCAACTTGCGTAAAATAAACTGTCTGGGGTCAGTGGGGTCATCAGTAATTGATACGATTAGTTTTCTCAGGTGTTCTCTTGAATTAATGCCTAAAACTACAATTTTCGTCTTCATAACCTTTGACTGATTGTAGGGTAGCAGGACCCGAACTGTACTCTTGGAGATTCAACAAAGATGCTTCAGCGTGTCACCCCTCACCGCAGCAGCCGCTCAGGTACATTTTAAAACTTAAAATGCCTGTTTAACAGTGTTTTCAGTGATACCAAATATTGTTATGTAATCAATCCAAGTGTCGAAAAAATCTAGTAAGACTTAAAATAAATGTTTCTAATGTCATTAAAATGTGTTCTAGGTTGCTATGTCGAAGTTCGACAAAGCCCCATTGCCTTACGAGAAGTTAACGAAAAATTTGGAGGTGGTAAAGAAGAGGTTAGGTCGGGATATGACCTTGTCTGAAAAGGTGCTCTACTCTCATTTGGATGACCCTAAAGGACAGGTCAGTAATTATTGATTATTTTTAATTAATTATCAGGCAATTTATTCGAAAATATTTCAGAAATTGAAAAAACATAAATCTTATATAATTGATTTGAGTTTCGACAGTTACTTAAATAGCATAAAATAATTTAATGAGAAAATAAAGACTTTAAAAGTAATTTTTTTAAGTAAAGTATTTGTTTGCCATAAAAATTAATATACAAAAAACACAGACTATGAATATAAATTAAATAAATTTAAATTAACATTACAGCAATGGTAAGTTGTAAAATCCATAAATTATTTACGTACATTGTTTGAAATTAAATTTAAATGTAATAGATGACTAAATACCTAGGATAAATTTGGAGAACAGATATAAAGCGGAAAAGAGTATTAAAATGTACAATAGTTTATATATGTGGAATAATGTAATTAGTAAAAAAAATATTGTTTGTAACACATTCAATGCTGCCATGATTTTTTGTATGATAGCAAACTTACCAGGTGATTGATACTAAATTTTAACTTTAAAATAGATTTAAATAATTCAATCTAAATAACATATGTATATTGACTATTAGATTGTACTTTTTTTTTTTAATTCATTACATTTGCAGATAGTTTTTTTTTGCATTTGTAACACTTTTTTCTATAAATGAAAACTTTTTATTTAACCTCATCCTTTTTAATGCAATGTATTTTTAATACATTCTTGGTTGTACCTCTAACATTTTGACATAATTGTTGCCTTCACAGTAGATTAATGATTTAAGGTATACCAATTAAGATTCTCGGAACCAAATCGTTGTCACCATTAGGGGACTCGGAGTCTACTCTAAGATAGAGATGACTTGACCTTAGTCAACGTTGGTTGACTTTAAAAATTGAACACAAATAATGTCCATTAATATTTTCAGCCATATAGTATTTATAAACATAAAAAGAACATTAGTCAATTGTTTTTTGTTAAAGTTGATTACAATTTCCATTCATTTCTTTAACTAAGTAGAGAATAGTTGGCTCAAGGGTTAAGCACATGACTTGTAATCTGCTGGTCCTGGGTTCGAATCCCGCTATGTACCAATATGTTTTTCGATTTACATATGTACATTTATCTAATGTTCTTACGATAAAAGAAAACATTATACAACCTGCACATATCTGTAAAGAAATTCAAAGATGTGTGTGAAGTTAACCCCCACTGGTACAGCGTGGTTGATTATGACCCAGTCCTCCGGACTTAGGGTAGGCTTCAAGCCCCTCAGTGGGTATATGATGATGACTTAAACTAAATCAATATTTATCATTATTTAAATATTCTTAGGAAATGGAGCGAGGTACCAGCTACCTCCGCTTACGGCCTGACCGTGTCGCCATGCAGGATGCCACCGCACAAATGGCTATGTTACAATTCATCTCGTCCGGTCTACCACGAGTTGCTGTACCCTCTACTATCCACTGTGATCATTTAATTGAAGCACAAGTTGGTGGTGTTAAAGACTTGGCTAGAGCAAAGGTGAGTGGAGTTATTTTTAAATCCTATGCTAATTAAATATCATTTTAATCTGTTCACATTTAAAGGATTTTGAACGAGAATTTTTTTGTTATTTTTTTATCATTTGAATATGTTATACAGGAAAAAAATGCTTTGGTTTTTTGAAATGAAGTTTCTACCTCGAAAATTTTATGAAGTCCTTTTACATAGAAAAAATAATTAAATATAATTTTACATACTTAATATATTACAATAATTCTCAAACCCATCAACCTTTAACTTCTATATAATTTAACTTAGGACCTGAACAAAGAAGTATATAAGTTCTTGGAGACAGCGGGAGCTAAGTACGGTGTGGGTTTCTGGAAACCGGGCTCCGGTATTATCCATCAGATCATCCTGGAGAACTATGCGTTCCCAGGACTGCTGATGATTGGCACAGACTCTCACACACCTAATGGCGGTGGACTTGGTGGTCTTTGCATTGGTAAAGTATACCATCATAAAAATAATAATCAAACTTAATTAAATTTCAAACAAATTTATATTAATGACTAGCTGTCGTCTGCGACTCCGCACGGAATTAAGGTAAAAAATTATTTGTAGCCTTTGTGTTCTTCCAGACTATGTTCTACATTTATGCCAAATTTCTGCGGAGTCCATTCAGCCTTTCCGGAGATACCATCAAACAAACATCCATCTAAACAATTACATTTTTAATATTAGTAACATTTAAATAATTGGCAAACATCAAATATATGTTACATATTATATAAAAAATACTTACGCTTACAATTGTAAGAAATATAACTTTAGAGAGATTTTTTTTTTAACTTATAAATTTAGTAAACTGGTTTAGTGAAAAATGTTGTCTAATTTTTTTATTAATCATTAAAAAATATTCAGGTGTTGGAGGTGCTGATGCTGTGGACGTAATGGCTGACATACCTTGGGAACTGAAATGCCCTAAAGTGATCGGTGTTAAACTTACTGGTAAGTTGTTTTATTTAATACTAGCTGTCGCCCGCGTATCTGTCCGTGCGGATTAAAAAAAATAACTTAATCTTGGAAAACATAAAGGCTACTCTTTATGTTTTTCCAGACTATGTTCTATATTTATGTCATATTTAATTAAGATCCGTTCAGCCGTTCTAGAGATACCTACAAACAAACTAAATATTCGCATTTATAATATTATGGTCACTAGTGAATATTGTAGTTTCTCTTCAGTGGAAGAATTTTCAAATCGGTTTAGTAACTTCGGAGTGTATTCCACGCAATCAAATCTTTCCTATCGATCTGGTGCTTACGGACAGACAGACAGAGATAAATTCATATAGACACATTATATGTTAACGTATACCACCCGTCACTCGCGACTTCGTCAATGTGGTATTAAAAACTGAGTTGGTAGTTTCTGTGCTAAAATTTATCCAGATTTCTTGAGTTATTCTGGATTTTAAGCGGATATAAAGAATCCACACTTCAGACAATTTATAGTAAACTAGCGATAACCCTCGACTCCGTCCGCGCGGAGTTAAAAAAACATCATTAGTAACCTATGTGTTTTTCTAGACTATGTTCTTTATTTATGACAAATTTAATTGAGATCCTTTCAGCCGTTCTGGGGATAACTTCAAACATCCATCCATCCATCCATCCATCTAAAGATTCGCATTTATAATATTAGTAAGATATATTAAAATCCATCCAAATAAAAAAGGTTAAATTTTTATGTAGCACGTACTATTAATAGATAATTAAGGTACAACATATTTTTATTTAAATGATTAATTTTGTTTATTTTTTTCGATTGTTTATATCAAGATTTAAAAGTGTTCATTCAGCCATTGCTATCAGAGAGCTGCCGAATTTAACCGGATTCATGATAACATTATTGACCTTTGCAAATATATCTCGTAAACAAAAGTAATAATGTCTTACTTTTTACTAATATTTTAAACTAGCTGTCGCCCGCGACTCCGTCCGCGTGGATATATAAAAAAAAATAGTTTAGCCCACCCATCCATCCATCCACATCACATCCATCTAAACATTCGCATTTATAATATTAGTAAGTTAAATAAAAAGCAGCTCTTCAAGGCATAAATTCGAAAAAAAATTGAATAAATAGTATCGTATGTCTGTCTACTGGCTGTAAGTTACCTCCTCACCAATTTTCAGCCATATCTTCATATCTCAAGCCGTTCTTGAGTTATAAATAGTGTAACTAACACGACTTTCTTTTATATATAGATGAGAATGTTTGGATGTATGAATGTTTGTTTGTTTGAAGATATCTCCGTAACAATTGAACGGATTTTGATGAAATTTAGCATACATGTAGAACATAGTCTGGAAGAACACATAGGCTACTTATTAAGTTTTTTTTAATTCCACACGGACAGTATCGCGGGGGACAACTAGTATTTTATACATATATTAAGATAGTCGATAAAATGCTTAATAAGTAACGAAAATATAAACAATTGTTAAATACGGCTTGTAATATTCACATACATATGTGTATATGTTTGTTAACTATATTTGCTTGTATTTTAGTCAACATAAAGTGGTTTGAATTGACGCGTAATTGAAACACAATCACAATAATTTTTTATAACAACTCAAGCGAATATATACCTTCTTACTTGTATAGAAGGTAGAAAATATAACAGCAGTATATGTATTGCCTAATACGAGGTATTAATAAAAATAAAATTCTGTATGGCCCGACGCCAGATCCCAATGCGCATTTCTTATCGTGTTAGCCAAGTGTTTTCATATTACGTTTCACTTTTTCTTTCAAAGCTGAGAGATGATAAACAAAAAAGAGTCTTGACAAACAAACGGACGGACAACAAAGTGATCCTATAAGGGTTCCGTTTTTTTCCTATCGAGGTACGGAACCCTAAATAGTAATGAGTTTGAATATAGTATGGATGGATTGTATGAAAGAAGATATGCGTAAGAATGGGGTAAATTCAGATAAGACGTCTGATAGAGATATATGGAGAAGTAGTTCATACTGTGCCGACCCTGAATAGGGACAAGGGCAGGTTGATGACTCTAATTTCAATCTCTTATGTTAGGATCGCAGTTGTTAAGCGTTTCTTGATTAACAAGTCCAGGTTCGATCTCTGCCATGTACCATTGTGTTTTTCGTTCTCGTTCGACGTGAAGGTGAAGGAAAACATCGTGACAATGCATATATTGAAGAAATTCAATGTTATGTGTGAAGTCCTTATTAAAATACAACATATAATTGCTTATAAGCAATGGAAATGACTATTGAATTTGCAAATTATTTTCAACAAAGTTATTAACAAATGTTTTGTAGATCATTTTACTTGTATCATCATCATCACCTCACTATACGTCCCCACCGAGGTTGCTCAGATATCTGCAGGTTGCATCACGATGTCTTCCTTCACCGTAAGAACGTCGTATAAATGTACATATGTAAATCGGAAATAGAAAAACACATTGGTACATGGCGGGATTCGAACCCAGGACCTGCAGATTGCAAGTCAAGTGCTTGAGCACTGAGCCACCGCCATTTACTTGTATGTTTTAGAATAAAATTCACTCCAAACTAACAGTTCTTTTGGCTACAAAAACAGTTCATTTAATAGCTTACAAAATTTTAATGTAAACAACTCCTATAACATTGCGCAATAAGGTTACCTATGTTAATTTCAGTTATATGGCGATTGTATCTTACTATACAAATATAACTCTTGCGCAATACGTGATAAAGATTGTTTTCTTCTGACGTATGGATATGCAAAATGCGCAGTAGACAAGACCAATTTACAACGACATATTAAACTCAAAGTTCTCACATGACAGGACTGATTATTCACGCGTATAAGATAACATTACTTATGCATTTTGTATTATAAGATTCCAACTCTATGGCTTACTGGTGGTATATCACTAATCCACTGACCTCTATAAATGGAATGGCTATAAGACGTAGTAATTTGTGCCTATTTGATTTTTAATTTTGGCGCTGATTACATAAATAGGTGCGTTAGAATCGGAACGAAGCGGAGCTGTCATTTTCAAGCAATCACCTATCCATTTATATAGATCAGCGGGGAAATCAAACAACTTAACAGCTCGGAACATGCGTAAAACACAATTTAAGATATTGCGGAGCGTAAGGGGATGTTGGGGAAACAGGAGGTGCGCTGCGCATTGGACTTAAGACGTCAAAAAATTAAATTGTATAGTACCACTACGACCTTTATGCCCCGTCGAAACATAAACTTGTTATACGAAATTGCGAGCTTCCCTAAAGTTTGGATGGCATAATACTAATGTACTTTGGACATTATGAATTAACTAATTGCTTTGAGTTCTCATTAAACCCTAGTTGGTAGTAATTGATAACCTTTCGGAATGTCTAATGATTTCGTAAACAAACAATGAAATACATTCAGGGAGCTGTCGGCTATTTTTTTCTTGACTAATCCATTTCTGATCCGTTCCAAAACATATCGGCCCAATGGGAAAAAACCTTTGGACCTATTCGATCGGTCCAACGGAAACACCCAACATATCGTTACGTTCGTTATGTATGTTTTTTCGAGATGGAACGAAAGGAGGAGGACAATATGATGTTTTTTTTGTTTTTTTTTTTGTATTCGGCAATGGAAACCTTTTTGGACATAATCAAATATTTGGCAACTTTTTCATTAGTTTGCAACAGATATCATTTGTTTATCCGATATATTTACTCCAAAGATAAAAATACTAAAATCATAAATCAGATCTTTTATCACTCGTCTCTTACATCCGCCGTACTTTTGTAACACTAGTTGTCGTCCACGACTCCGTCCGCGCGCAATTATAGCAGTCTATGCGTACTTCCTTGTTCTACATAAATGCAAAATTACAGCGAAATACATGCAGCTGTTCTGGAGATACCTTCTAACAAACATCCATCTAAACTTTCACACTTATAATATTGGATGGATGGATGGATAAAGCCTTTATTCGCTGACAATTATTAAACTTAATGTTATAATACAATATTGACAAACTTATTTTCTAGTAATTAACCTATGTTAGATGTATAATCGATTGCCCAGCATCCCGTTGCGTGTCAGGTTGTCCCTTGACATAGGCCTCCACTAGTCTCTTCCACACCTCTCTATCGCGCGCTAATGTTCGTCATCCCTTGGGTAAGTCGTCTTCCCATCTTTTGATTTGTCGTCCTCTTTGTCGTTTTCCTTTTTTTAATATTAGTAAAAATTAAAATTTCGTAATATTCCCTCATAATTAATCTAAACAAATATATTATCTTTTGGCTACTGTTATGTTATATTTTTTATTATTTCTACGTATGATTAATGCATCTGAAAATTCTTTATCAAAAACTTTTATCAAGTATTTACTAAACCAATTACCTCATATCAAAAATATAACATAATCTAGAATTACGTCAAAATAATTCAACTTGCAACAAATTAAATTGTTTTCGTTATATTTTTTGTTATTCTCTGACACAACAATTTTTTTAATAAAAACAAGGGTCAGACAGACGGATTAACAACAAATTTATCCTATAAGGGTTCCGTTTTTTTCCTTTCGTGGTACGGAATCCTAAAAACATGAAAGTTATTTGTTTAGCTGTTTTTTTCCAGTGAAAACTAACTATGTACTGTGCAGTTAACACGTTTAGTGCCTCCGAATGGTGTTGAATTTCATGGAATCTTGCAGGTGTTAGATAAAATAAAGCAAATATCAGTAGATTTTAAATAGATATTAGAATGTTTTAAATTGATTTTGTTTCTATTATACTTAAGAAATATATAACAATATTACTTAATAATATTATAAATGCGAATGTTTAGATGGATGGATGTTTGTTTGAAGGTATCTCTGGAGCGGCTCAATGATTCTTGAAAAAAAAACATATAAGCTACTTATTAAGTTTGTTTAATTCTACGTAGACGGAGTCGCGGACGACAGCTAGTATTGAAATAAAGTGAAAATCCACGCTAATATCTTGTAATTTACACTGCGGAAAAATAATTCTCTTAATTTTGCTAGCCCCAGTATTTGAAAAATCGGGAAATGTTTAATGTCAAATTTCTTCTTAGGTCAACTAAAAGGCTGGACAAGTCCTAAGGATGTGATCCTGAAGGTTGCCGGCATCCTGACAGTGAAGGGTGGTACAGGCGCCATCGTGGAGTACCACGGGCCAGGAGTAGACTCCATCTCTTGCACTGGAATGGCCACCATCTGCAACATGGGAGCTGAAATCGGCGCCACCACCAGTGTGAGTTTAACACTCTGAATGCTTCGCGTAACACTGAACTTGTTAGCTGTCATATTCACAGTCTTCAAATGAATTACCGCTGTAGAGTTGTTAATTGTTTACTTTGAGAGAACCCTTAGTATAGATTTGTCATATTTAATCTTTACTTTATTATTTCACAATTGTAATTGTGGTACTTTGTGTGGATTTAGTACGAGAAATCTAAACTTAAATAACGATTAATCGATTCTTAGTGTGGCAGTGGGTTGTATTATAGGAAAATTTTACATGTCCCCGTATCAACATACTAAATTTTAGTGTTGCCCCGAATTTTAAATCATTCTAAAGATTTTATAATAGTATTGTTATTAAAAGAAACAATTGAATTGTTTTTATTATTGTGATTTAGGTAATTTTTTGAACATCTTGTGTTATTTAATTTTATTTGTAGGTGTTCCCCTACAACTCTCGCATGGAAGCGTACCTTAAGTCAACAGGCCGTCACGACATTGCCGCCAAAGCAAACTCCTTCAAACATTTGCTCACTCCCGACTCTAAAGCACCTTACGACCAAGTAAGTACCACTTTTTTTGGGTTTATACGTCAATTTTTTTTTTTTTATGTAATTTTTTTTTCGAACTTCTCTTTCAGTTAATCGAAATCGACTTATCAACATTGGAGCCGCATGTAAACGGACCTTTCACCCCTGACCTGGCCAACCCCATCTCGAAGCTGGGCGAGGCTGCCAAGAAGAACGACTGGCCGGTAGACATCCGCGTCGGCCTCATCGGTTCCTGCACCAACTCATCCTACGAGGACATGGGACGATGTGCCAGCATTGTTAAAGAGGTAATAACGGACGAAGGCAACTGATAGTTTTTTTTTATAAAGCTCTATATGTTGGCCGAAGATTGCCAAGTGATGGCGAATACCAAAGTAAAGAAAATACATTTTCATTGTTTGCTATCAATCGGCGTCAACGTACAAATGTTGGCGCATTGGTGTCTGATAGACTTGCCAAACATATAGACACTTGTCTTGTACTAATTTGTTTAAACTCGTATTGGCCTTCACTCGGCAAGCTTCGGCCAACATGTATGTAAAATAAGTGGGCGGAACCAACAAGATTTTCTACTTCCATAAACAATAAAGGAACTTTAGATTCTAGACTTTATTTATATTTTTATTTCTAGAATTATTCATGTAAAACTTTTTTTTATCCAGGCGTTAGGTCACGGTCTGAAGTCCAAGATCCCGTTCAACGTGACCCCCGGCTCGGAGCAAGTCCGCGCCACTATTGAGAGAGACGGCATCGCACAGACCCTCAGGGACTTTGGAGGCACTGTGAGTACAAATATATCTTTTATATGCATATATATGCATATATTTGCATATGCAAAACCTAACCGTGGATTTCTCAGTCATAAATCTACGTTTAGGACATATCAGATATCTCTGGTTTGTCAAAGATAATGATAGGGATGACAATATGTCTTATAAATTGATTTTGGTCTCGGAAACCCGCGGTAAATTTTGTTGAAATTGCACATTTACGTTACTAAACTTTGTCGTTTGTGTTAATAATTTTAGCCATCTTTATCATACAACATCCGTTCAAAATTTCACAAAACAACTGAAACGTATAGACATTGTCCTTTTAATATTTTTAAATTCTTCCTGTTTTATTTGTTTTCTGACAGTGGTGTGCTGTTTTAATTCCATATTATATTTAATATTATAGGTATTAGCAAACGCATGTGGTCCATGCATCGGACAATGGGACCGTCAGGACGTGAAGAAGGGGGAGAAGAACACCATCGTGACTTCATACAACCGCAACTTCACCGGACGGAATGACGCCAACCCCGCCACACACTGCTTCGTCACCAGCCCTGAGCTCGTCACCGCGCTATCCATTGCTGGTCAGATATCATTATACATGTTATACATAGTAACAAATTCTTCAATGTACACGAAACTATCTGAATAGGCACCATATGCATATTGGCTATCGAATTTATCTAGAACTAGTTGTTGCCTGCGACTTCTTTGAATAAAAAATAGCTTAAGTTACTGCCGCCCTCATCAGGTATTTTCCAGTAAAAATCTAGTTAAAATGGGCCCAGACGTTTCGAAGTTTACTCGGAACAAACAAAGATTTGCGGACAGACAGACTTAAATTAAACGCAATGTGTAGATTAACTTTGAAAATGTCTTCGAATAATTTTCTATACATTGGAGATTATAAAACTCTTAAAAATGTATATCTTTATTGTTCTCTCATATTCTGTTTGGTATAAAATATCTAGTCATTTTTTATTAATAAAATATTAATAATATTTCACCAGGTCGTTTGGACTTCAATCCGTTGTCGGACGAGCTGACTGGCAAAGATGGCAAGAAGTTCAAGCTGTCGGACCCATTCGCTGACGAGCTGCCCGCTAAAGGCTTCGACCCCGGTCAGGACACATACCAGCACCCGCCCGCTGACGGCTCCAGTATGTATATTAAGTCGTTATATAACAATTTCATCTAATATCTAGTTATAAATATAGGCAGAATCATACAGGAATAGTGTAGTTTCCTAACAGTTAAAGAATTTTCCAAATTGGTTCAGTAGTTGCATTGAATAGTCGGAATCTATTTGTATTCAATGCAAACAATCAAATTTTACCACTTTATAATAATAATATTTTACTGAGAAGTATGAAAATGACGTCTTTTGATGCAAATAAAAATTTTTTTTTAATATTTTCATTGAAACTTAATAAAATCTGTGTTATATTTTTCTTTACCAAAAGAAATCGTGGTTTTAATCAAAAAACATTGTAAAAACGAATATTTACAGAGGTGGCAGTCGACGTATCCCCGACATCTGACCGTCTGCAACTCCTGGAGCCGTTCGACAAGTGGGACGGCAAGGATCTCAGCGAGATGACCATCCTCATCAAGGTGAAGGGCAAATGCACCACCGACCACATCTCCGCCGCCGGACCCTGGCTCAAGTACAGAGGACATCTTGATAACATCTCCAATAATATGTTTATCACGTGAGTACTTTGTATATATGATATTTAAGACTAACAGTCGCCTTTGACTTCGTCTACTCAGAGTTTTAAAAAGTATGCTATAATATGCCCGCGTCCATTAACTACCTTCCAGTTCAAGTCCCGTCAAAATCGGTCCACCCGTTCCGAAGATTACTCGGAACAAACGCGGCCAAACGAACAGACAGACAAGCATTTTAAAAATTGGTTTTTACTTATCAGCAATGCAAATATTTCATACCGACACGCCAAATTAATAAATCTTACTAATATTATAAATGCGAATGTTTAGATAGATGGATGGTTGTTTGTAATTTGGTAAAGATGCAGAGTTTAGCCTGGAACAAACTCATAGGCTACTAACGTTTTTTTTTTTATTCCGCGCGGACGGAATCGCGGGCGACAGCTTGTATGTATATGATAACTATTTCTAATATATTGTCAACAGAGCAACAAACGCGGAGAACGGTGAACTGAACAAGGTCCGTAACCAGATAACTGGGGAGTGGGGCGCTGTGCCGGCGACCGCGCGCGCCTACAAGGCGGCCGGCGCACGCTGGTGTGTTGTTGGCGACGAGAACTACGGCGAGGGCTCCTCCCGCGAGCACGCCGCACTCGAACCTAGACATCTCGGTGGCCGAGCTATCATCGTCAAGTCATTTGCCAGGTAATTGAACCTTAATACCAATGGATGGAGATAGGACGAGGTAACCACAAAACACACAAAACCTAAATAGGAAAATCAAACACTAGAAGTGAAATGAACAAACTGTCTGCAATTTAGTTTTACTTACGTCTACCGGATTAGTTAAGTTTGGCTATGTAATATCTTTATTTGTTGTTGACACAGAATCCACGAGACCAACCTGAAGAAGCAAGGCCTGCTGCCGCTGACATTCGCAAACGCCGCTGACTACGACAAGATTCAGCCAACAGACAAGATCTCCCTGTTAGGACTCAAGGACCTCGCGCCCGGCAAGGTAACAAACCAGAAAAATTCTAAGTCTTATTTTCAGTCATAGATAAGGCGTCTAATATAAGGCACTCCAAAGTGTACAGTTTTATTTGTTATTTTACATAAAGACACTTTTTTTATACTATTCCACTGGACACAGTTGCGACTAAAGACGCAAGTTTCCGAGTGGAAAATTGGTTTAACATAAAAAACAAAGAACTTCGCTAAAAAGATATCACAGATAAAAAAATGTCTATCCTTATCGTACTCTTTACTTAATGGTTCTGATATAGAAAATGTAACTTTTTAAAATAAATTAATTTAATTTATTAATTTTATAATTACAGCAAGTCGACTGTGAAATCAAACACAAGGATGGCAGCGTTGAACGCATCAAGCTGAATCACTCACTGAACGAGCAGCAAATCTCATGGTTCAAAGCGGGCTCTGCACTTAACAGGATGAAGGAAATTGCCGCGGGCAAGTGAGAGTTACCCCTAATGCAATCCTTGCACTGGATTTACCCTAAAAATGGGGTAATTTTTATAAAGTAGCAACCCTGTGAGATTTTATTCTATGGTAGCTAGTTTATAGCGAATTAAACAACAGTATTTTTTACCAATTTTACATGAAATTGAAAATCTTTATTTCGACAGAAAAGGATCGAGGCTTTTAATGAAACTCATGGCAACAAGACATTGTGTTAATAAATTCATTCATGAGAAATTGTGTGATTTAATACCAGACAATATAAGAAAAAACTTAAGCAACATTTTCATGTACTTAAGTGGTAGCTAAACTAATAGTCAAACTCCAGTGCAAGTTATGTTATTAGTTAAATGTTATAAAGAGCATTTTGTATAGTTGCCCAACACTTGGCAATGAATCTTATATACTTAGCTGTAGTAAGTACAAAAGTTAGATGAAATTAGTTTAATAAGTTTGATCCTTTTTTCATCGATTCACATGTTATTAATGAATTATGATTATATTAAAAATTATCAATTATTTATATGTTGTTTTACTTTTTCTCTCCTAATTTTAAAACCTATCATACTTTACATACTCCATCTCAATCCATCTTTTCTTAGAAAAGGGTGGGAAAATGGACTAGAATGACAATCCGAACACTTCCATCATCATCAACTTACTATATGTCCCCACTGAGGGACTCGAAGCCTAGCCTAAGTTAGGGGTAACTAGGCCATAGTCAACCATGCTGGCCCAGTGAGGGTTGTTTTACTTCACACATATCTTACTAGGATACTTTATACGGTCAAGTATTACTTATAATTTGCTTTCTATTTATCAATAAATGTAACCTAGGATATAGAAGTGGCTGTCACTATAGGAGTGCCTAAAGGCAAAAGCTTACTTGTCAGACCAGTATATTGGTTGTTATAAAAAAAATTGTATACTATGACATTGAAATGTGAGAACGACCATTGCCCATTGACATACACAATTGCATTTGCATTGGCTTTGACAGGAAGGGATGCAGATTCCCTTCCCAGCCTTTCGTTATTAGAAAGAAAACTATAATTAGGCCTCTGAGACACACACCCATCAGATGTGACATGGAATTGCTTTCACTTCATGCCTGTCTTCTGTGTTAATTGTATTGTACAAGGTGAACCCACAAATTCATGTGAAAAAGTTAAGGCTCTACCACTGTTAATATCTAGAATGATAAAGAGTAAGTTAGCTAGATTATTAGAGTAATTTTCCACTATAAAATTTGCAAGCTTATTAATTACTTTAAATATGTCTAACAATTCTGTTCTTTTTACAAAAATTAAATAACTGGGTTTTAAGAAAAGCAGCACAAATAAAACTGAATCTAGTGTAAAACTATTTTATTTAGCAACAGTTTAATCTTCATTGTCTTCATTATCGCTGTCAGCGTTAATGTTGAAGTAACGCAGTTCATATGCATCATGAGCAGATGCAACCACACGCAGCCAGTCCCTGAGGTTGTTCTTCTTGAGGTACCGCTTTGTCAAATATTTCAGGTACCTCTTGGAGAAGGGAATGTCTAAAACAATGATATGGTACGATGAATGGAAATGAAAAACTATTGGAAACATTTCCAATATGGCATTTCTAGTCCTTGTAAACAAACTTGCAATATGCTTTCAAATACAGTACGCACGAAATATTTTTTTTTATAATTATCTACATAAAAAGAGGAGAAAAATGATTTTATTATCATTAACTTATTAATCACACAGATTTTGTGTCCCAAGAATAGCCGGTTTTTATACTGCTCGTATCAAGTTCGGCTGTACGGAAATCACGTAAAAATTGTGGCAACAGTTTGCTTATTTCGGCTTTATGATATTTTCATTCAATGTAAAATAAAAGACACCAACCTGCGTTGATAGCAACCTTCGTCTTGTCCCTAGCGATGACAACGTGATTTCCTAGGTTATTTGTTTTGTTCTCAACCTTTACATGCTCCTTGAGGTATTTCTCGAAGTTGCCGACATCCAAGATGCTGTCCTCAGCGGGGTGTGTGCAGTCAATTGTAAACTTCAAGTTGATTTTCCTTTTCATTCCTTTACCGCGGATTTGACCACCCTTAACTCCCTTCTTACCCTTTTGATGCAATTGAGCCTTTTTAGGCGCGGGTTTCTTAGTTACTGCCATTTTAATGCCCTGAAAAATAAATCCTAAACGTAATATTGATTTTCAGATAAATAACTAAGCGAACATTAATTATTTTTGAGCATTAACCTACAGAACACGTGTAGCAGTTTTCGTCAAACCTGCAAAATGGCCGACTTTTTGGCAGCTACCATAAACCAAAACATGTAAGTTTTAGTCTTTGAAAATGTAATGCTTTGAATACAAGGCTTTGTGTATCTGTAAAATATTATAAAAAACGGTTTAAATGTAACAAATTAGAAACTGGTTTTAATATCTTACAAAATGGTTATTTAATTTAAAGAGTATTTAATTATCTGCGATTAGCTTTCTTTTGAGGAATGAAAGAAAAAATTAGCAATATTTAGATTCAATCAAGATCTGTTTGGCGGGCAGTTTTAAAAAACTCTTAACCTTAAGTGAAAGCCTTATCCTTTACTTATACTCAAAGTATAAATGTAAGAGCGAAGGTAAAATAAGCTCGAAGTAGATTAATTTCTCATGTAAGCTTCGCCGTGCTGCCTCGTCTAGTTTATGTGTGTAAAGTATACCTCGACATAACTTAAGTACAATGCTTCTATTGTTTCGCTGGTTACCTATATTTCCCACGAATGAATTAAATTCGAGGTCACGACTCAACACACGGACGTTTTTTTTACCTGTTATGATGTAATGCCTTTTTGATTTTGATTGTCTTGTCTAGTCTTGTCTCCAAAAAATAAACTGTCAAGCGCTGTTCTTGTTATCAGCTGTTTCAAAGAACTTTAACTTTGGAAATTACTTAAATAATATGCTTCAGAAAGTTATAACAAATGTACGCAACCGCAGCACGTCTGCGCAGAATATTTGTGTTTATTTACTACCAAACTATAGTTGATTTCCTGTCTTCGCGAGTGTGTGAAATGTGAACCTATTTTTGTAGATAACCTCTCTTGAGAAAGGTGAATCACAGCGAGAAATTGTGAACTTTATATAAATTAGACGTGGTTGAGCTATAGTGCGATGGTGCGACGTGACAAATAAGTATTTTCAATACAATGAAAGTGACAATTTAATCGATAACCCCATGGAAACAGTCATGGCTGCACGCAAATGATAATAAAATGGAAAAATGTTTTGTCGCCTGTGGGTGCGACGATCAAGAAGGTGTAACAAAAGGTGATTTAGATCGTTTTACCGACAAAATTGAAAACGTTTTGAATGATGAAAAGGGTAGGAGGTTGTTTAGAAATTTTATGTTCACAACAAAGATGAAAGACGGCCGAAGAGCTTTAGACTTTTTAGAACACATCGAGAGACTACTCGGGTATTCTGAAGACGCCGAAAGTACATCATACCGCAATTACCTCAGAGATTTTGATCGTTTAATAGATGAAGCTGAAAGGATAGAAGAATTAGATTTTGCAACAATGGAAAGACTTGCTATAGCTCGTGACTCCGAGAATAAAGATGAAATGGAAGCCGTACTGAAATTGTTGAAAGTTGAAGCAGTAAAAGCACTTCGCAGAGAATATAGTGCTTTCCGAAGGCACTTTATTTCAAACAATTAAAAGTTGTTAATTATTTAGTGCCTCGCTTTTTTAAGCTCGTTAAAATTTCGCGCCAGACTGACACTACTTACATTTTTGTATGAATTACACAAATCACATTGTTATTTTATTGTTTGAACTAAGTTTAAACACAATTTGTTACTTTATTGCGCATACTTTATTTTTTTCGTCCAAATAATGTGATAGTTATTTATTTAAACCACAAAAGTACCTTACTATTTTAATATATGGTGGAAAAAATTAAAAATTATAAGCCTAATTGTATTTTATTTTACTTAAGGACCAAAATTTCTTGCATTATTACAGAACACAGTTGCCAAAGGATACATATCTTGCTCCATCCTTTGAATCAATATTCATAATATGTAGAATTGTTGAAGATTTAATGCATTAGCTTTTCTTAACCTTTCTCAGTTTCATATCAAAATTCGGTTTAAAAAGAAAGTAATCAAATTATACTTTATACATTCTATATCTAACAGCTCAATGTTTACTGATTTGAAACAAAAACATCACAACACATGCCTGTAATACAGATAAGTAGACTAGAGATGCCAAATAGAGATTCTATTTGTCATGGTCCTAACCCGATTTTATTCATATTTGGTTAATAAATAACTTTCCCTCTTAATTATCTGTCTACCCAACAATACGGCAATTACATGAGTTTAGACTACTAAAAAAATAGTATAAAAACATGTTAAACAGGACACTACAAAATGGACATAAAATAAATTCTGTGGATGGATATATTTTTTATTACTAAAAAAAGTTTTTCATATAGTTTATACTTAAAATAAAAGGTAAATTATTTCCGGAATCAGAAAGAATGATACATATTGCACAAATTTTATAATAAAAGGCAAAATCAATAATTTTTGATTCACAAAATAATATTTCCAGTAAACTGATAAATTATATTTATATTCACATATCATATAAATGGTAAATTGAATGAGATTTCTTTTACTATTTGAAAGCATGACTTTCTTGGCAGTATATGTATTGGACATAACTTATATATAAAATTTACATGTCACAATGTTACCATACTCCTCTGTAATAGCTTGACTGATTTTTATGAAAATTTATATGCATATTCAGTAGGTTTGAAAATAGGCTACTATCTAATACCCGCAAGGATGGGGTCACATGTGATAGCTAGGTATACATAATTTTAATTACTGTCATATTGGTTTCAATGACAAAACAATTGTGCAACATACTGTATTCACTATTCTTTGAGAGAATATGAGAATCACTATAGTTGTACCTAGATAAACAAGAGTAATTGTTGGGTCCAAACGGGCGACCTCCATAAGCAAGAAAATATCTCAGTCCCTTGGTTTCTCGCTTATCCAGATTTGACTGCAAATGTTTTTGTACAATTGTTTATATAGTGGAAACTTACAGATAAATTCTTGTATCTATAAATGTAATTGTACTGACAAATATTATTATTTATTGAAATATTATCATTGTATTACAAAATCTTATTTTAAATTATTTCCATTATATATTATGAAAAATTGCAAAATTCTATTGATTCTTATAATAATCGTTTTCTTAATTATGGCATTGTTTTATTGATTATTTATTGGATTATAATATGTAGTACATATATTTATATAGGTAAGCCAACAGCTCCGAAACATTTCATTTATATTTTCAATCACAATCCGATACAAAAAACGGTTTACAAATTAAATACGAAGTGGATATTTAATTATATTATAGTATTTTTCTTTCTTACAATGCTTAATTTAAAATTACATATTTTTTTATTATACAAACAAAATATCCATATGGAATATTCCGGAGCTGTCAACAGACTATATAAAAGTGAACTATAGATTCATATATTATAAACATTTATATTTATCACGTTGGAATAACGAGTCCATATCTCATACAATAAAAATACTTATACATATAGTAATTACACTAAACTATCTTGATATCATTTTAGCTATGTTAAAGCATAACTAAAATGAGTTTCATTCCCTAAGTCTTCTTCCAAGAGTAGTACATTTCCAGTGGCTTGTTCACCTGAAAACAGTATACATATTAGACATATCTTACTAATAAGTGTGAATGTTTGGATGGATGGATAGATATTTGTTAGAAGGAATCTCCAAAAAAGCTGCATGGATCTCGATGGAATTTGCCATAAATGTAGATCATAGTCTGGAAGAACACATAGGCTGCTTATTATTTTTTTTTTACAGCGCGGACGCAGTCGAGGGCGATAGCTAGTAATTAATAAAATTGGAGTGTCTGTGTGTAATGTTAAAGCAAAAATTTAATATTTCACGATAATGATGTACAATTGAACATGGACAAAAGGAAGTCTAAAAGACCGTGCATGCTTAAGCAATTTCGGATCTAGATCAGTCGCCTTGTGGTTGTGAAGCACCAAGTGGGATGTCATGTCTCCTCTGTTTACAAAACAAGCTGGGTTGTAAGACAGCAATTTAGTTACCTTCCAGAATTTATCATTGATCTGCCTCAGTGTCTGCGAACCAGCAAGAGGTACAAACTGTCCGGGAGAGGGCGCCACGTAGATACAGAAATTGAGCAGCCGGTACGCCTCCGGCAACTCCGCATCCAGGTCCAGCGTAAGACGCATCGCCAAGTATTTACTTAGGTGATCCACTGGAATTTGATAAAGTTTTATATTAAAAATAGTTTATTAATTAAATAAGTCATGATATCTTTCCAATGATATGCTATGATGATAATGATGAATTTATTTTTCTCTCTGTCAAAAATATTTCTGTGGTCATGTTTTTTCCTCAAACTTTAAAAGGATGGAGGCTACTACTTTTGAATATAATATAAGAATTAAATTACCTGAAGCATTAGCTGTAGTCTTAAGATACCTCACAGAACTATCTCTCAGGGCTCTCATTAGTTGGTTATCTCCGGTCATTTCCGTGGGATGAGGCTTAAACACTAACTCTATTTCGTTTGGGTTCAGGGGCTCCCCCTCTCCCTCTGTATCCATAGAATTTTCACCTTCAGTTCTGAAACAGTTATTAATGAAATAATACAAAAAAAAAATGCAACAAAAAGACATGAACATGCAAAAGTAAATGAAACATAGATTTATAAATTAGTATTAAATACTTTACTAACAGGATATTATAGTTGTAAGAAAGGCATGGGATAGAAAGTATGAGAAGAAGCATATAAGTTGAATAAATAATTATTTTAACAAGAAAGATGGCAAGAAATGCTAGAAAGCATGGAGCAGCAGGAGAAGTGCATATAGAACAAGACATAAAGAAAAGCATAAACAAAAAAAATTAACATGAGATGTGTTAGAAAATTATGCATGTATATTACAATTTCTTAATATTGAACTGAAGAAGACTTGTAAATATGTATTTTTACAGCTTTTATTAACAATTTTTTGCTATTTTTTTTAAAGGTTGATTGTAAGTTATGAATTATTTTTAGTGACTTTTCATTCATAGATTATTATAAACATTTCTGTGTAGTATAAATTAAATTCTATTGCAACATTTTCAAGCTAAAACTTTCAAAAACATTTAAAAGAAAATATTTAATTGCAACTCAAAACTAAAGGAAGAATGAAAATTTACCTGTTGATTTTTTTTTAAGTACTAGTTAATTTTGGCACAACAAAAACAGGCAAATATATCTTTCTTAAATATAAATGATGTAGGATAATATCCTTCATGTTATATTAATAAATTTTGAATATATGGAATAATAATAATATAATAAATAATCCAATTGAACCGTATTCTGTAATTGAGGTTTACAAAACCTCTTACAGGCAAAGAAAGCATTTCTAGAAATGGTTGGATAATTTCGAAGTGTGCTACTTCATTCCAAATTGGTTATTTACATATTTAAATATGTTTATAATGAAAACAGACCTGCCATCACTAGATTCACTTTCCTCACTGCGTTCCGATGTAAGAACAGATTTTGCCCTTTTAGTTGTGCTTGTGTTTTTTGACACAGAGCTTACATTTGAAGGTACAGGAGACGGGGTACTTCGAACCGATGCCGGGTTTGAAGTAGACTGACCAGGGGGAGTTGGATTACCAGTTGACGTCCCATCTTTGGGGACAGAGGAACTGTTGCCATTTTGAGCAGGTTCCGAAGTACCATTTGAATTTGACGGATTGCTGCTTTCTTCTTGGTTTTTTCTTGATCGTTGTGGTCTGTTCTGTGACTGAAGTTTAATACCCTCAGTAATAGAATTTACCAAAGACGCTTGGGAATGAGACATATTCAGCTTAGCCAGTACGCGCTCCTGATGCGCCTCATATTCATCCCTGCTAGGATAGATTTTAGATATTAACAAATCGAAGTTCGGATCGGGTCTCAAAGAACGCTTTGACACTAATTTCTTGCGGCACGTAGGACATTCTTTGTTGCCTGACCGAAGTGCAGTTATTATACAATCTGAGCAGAACCTATGAAGACATTCTTTAGTAGTCATAGTTTTTTTCAACATATCTAAACAAATAGGACACATCAGTTCGCTGTGCAAGCTTCGTGGGGATACCGCAATTTCCGTGGCATCTGTTATCACTTCTTGTGGCGTACGATGGAGTTCGTAAAGTGAAAGTTCCCATGTTTTATTCTGTGAAGGCTCTGTTGATGACATATTTGTAAAATTATAATATTTTTTTATAAAATAATAAACATTTTGAGATAGTTGACATGACAGTTCGAGCTAGCCGCTTCCACCATATTGTTTTCCACTCGGTGTTGCCATTGGCCACTTGCCCACTTGCCACTCGTCAAAAATATTGTTTTATTAGCGTGGTATACATATATATTTTATATACTCTTTGTGAGGAATATACTCTTTGTGTGGTGTATATATTTTATATACTCTTTGTGAGGAACGTTGTATATTTTTTTAAATCTCGTAGTCTTAATCCTAATTTCCTTCATTAGTTTAAATAAGGTTAATCGAGGTTTAGTTGTAAAGAAATAAGTAAATCCGAAATTTTTCTAGCTACTTATGGTATAAATAAGTCCAAATTCTCTCCATCCTACTTCAGACTCGCAGTTGAGTGAACAGATTATGAAACGGTCTGGTCAGGATTCCGTTTAGCAATTGACAGAGACCTTTATATATTAGATTTCAAGTATAACTGGACTTATATTTTTGTTGTAATTTTATATATTTTATGCAAAAAATGGACCTCAACATGGGCTTCGCCAAGGGATGTAAGGCGGGAGAGGGGGAGTTCATTGATTCTCTCTGATTATTTAACTACATACATGTTGGGATAATTTTACAACAGATTTGCTAAAATCGATAACGGGCACAGTTTTTAATGCTTTTTAAAATATTCTTAGGTTTCAATTGCTGTTTATGATTCATGTGCATTTATAAATAAAACGAAACACATCTTAGGCTTATTATATTTATTTGTCGTTTACAAAAGCGGTTATCGTTGGTTTTACATTATTTTACGTAATATTTTATACATAAATGTAAAATATTGCGAACAATGCACACTACTTATTATTTTATATCTATTAAATAAAAGTAAAATAAGTATAGTTAAGTAATTATAGATTTAAATGCAATGGGCAGCATAAATATTTTCAAATAAGAAGTGTTTTTAAAATTTTAGTACTATTTGTTGCCAGTATAGTATTCTTCTATATTGAAAATATTTAATTCAAATACGTAGTGGTTATTTACTAAAATGTAGCATCGTTTGCTTATAATCTAATCGTAATAATTTAAATTCGTTTTGCAGTCTTAATAACATATCTAAGCACCTATTCATCACCTACTTCTAAATACGAAAAAGCCGTTATATACACTAGAAGATCAATTATATTACATTTCTAATTTAAAAGTCAGACGACAATTTTTTTATAGCTTTATTTTGACAATAGTGTTTTGTTACGTACTTTAAAATAAATTTGTAAGTACACCAGTAGTCTTATTAGATTTGAAACGTAGATGTAGAGACTAGGTCCTAATAATGTGGCCGTACAATACTGAAAACAAACTATCTTTTGAGAAATTATAGTAATAGTGAGTTAAAATTAATACAATATAATGTGTACTTTTATGTGATAGCAACACTAATGCCCTAATTAGTCTTTAGCCTCTAATCTATTTTAATGAGAATAATTGATTAAAATATATTTTAAACATATTTGCATACAGTTTTACTTCTGGCATTTCATTTTTTTATTTCCAACTAACTGCCGTCTTTATAACGGGATTGTTTTGTATATAAGCCAAATTTTCATACGTTTCTCTAAATGAAATAGAGGAACTATGCGTCTATGGATTACGATAAATTACAAATGCTCCCTAAACATTATATACCTCGATTATGACGAGACAATATTCAAATACATTTACGGCAATAGCTTATGGTATTCCGCAGTATGCTTGTTCTTTTCGAGTACGTAGAACGACTTTGGCTTTCCATTACCAGAGTAATATTTTCTGAAGGATGTCTTCTTAGCGGGGACGTAGTAAGTCAATGCTTCTAAGGAATTAGGATGGTGATTGGATCCTTTAGGCCACGTTGGTGTGCTTTCTACATCGACAACATCATCGTCAAACCTTGCTTGGGGTCTGGTTTTGGCAATTTTATGGAGCACTGGTAAATTCCAGTGGTAAACTCGAGCTGGTTTCCCGTTACTGGTCATCTGTAGGGGTAATGTCCTGGCGGCGGCTGGTGCAGGGTCTACATGACTGTAATAACTAGTGTTCGGCGGCAGTTTGATGACATACATTCTAGAATCTCCCGTGCCGTGTCTCCTTCCTTGTTCTGCGAGACGTTTCCTATGGTGCGCCGCTGGTATCCTCAGCTTCTTGAGGCCGAGAGAGCTGAGCAGCTCGTGTGTGGTCGGCTCTTTCTTGTCGTTGGTGAGGTTGTTGTCGTTGGACTCGTGCGCAGAAGTGGTGCTTACGGCAGCTACCGCAACCAGAATCAACGCTGATGTTCTGAAAAGAAAGAGAAAAATATTATTTTTCGAGGATGAAATCTTAAATTCTGTTTCATTTTAAAGGAAGTTTTCACACAGAGGTTATGTTGAGGTAATACAAAATCGTCTATTTCGAATGGAATTTTTTAAAACAATGCGTATTACTACGTGTATGTACATTTTAACCATCCATTGCATTCTAGCACCATAATTATTTTTTATGACTTTACGGCCAATGAAATTATTACTGGCTGTAAAACCAGCAAAAGCGGTTTTATACAACAAAATGAAGGTAAGCTGCGGCCCTCACACAACGAGACATAAACGTTGATAGATTTCTTTGGGGACGTCCACACATTGGCGTACTTAGAAAGCGGCAGTACGTTGACTTACGACTAAGTAGTGTGCATAGTTTGCCGATGGCACTCGAAAAGTTAAACAAAATGGCCGCGAGGTGCAGTTGTTCGCCTCGAGTCGTTGTCGTGTTTTAAAAGCAATTAGCATAGACTATGAGGTTGCTGTTTGCATGCGTGGGACACAACGAGAGATTCATTAATACGATTTAATTGTTGAAGAGGTAGAAAGTGGTGATTTTAAAAAAGAGTTTACTTATTTGCTTTTTTATCTACGCTGCAGATTTTTTAAAAATGTTTTGTTATAATATGCCAGTATAAGGACTGTATCTTTGCCTGTGATTAACATGTCTCAGTACGCTTTAAACTCTTTTTAAAAGTAAAATTAGGCTCCATCTATACCATATAGTTACATAAGTTTTGACCACTGGCAACATTATAATTGTAATATTGGTAGTGAAAATATTATTTTGGTATTATCAATATCCCATAGAGGTATTACCTAATATTACGTATCTCCTAATATTACGACCCGTCTCCGTGAAGCTAGTTTGTCATAACAAAGGTCTCACATAACTTGTACATTTGTATTATTCTTTACTAGGAAAGCTAGACAATATGCCGTTGTGTGTCTTTGAAACCAATACACTCATTGCAATGTGCATCCTGGAATGGCGGCATTATGTCAAATGAATGAATGACAAGTGAATGAAGAATGTTACAGACGAGTGAACGAATATGGTTCTTTAGCTGTCAAGGCTTACGACGACATATTAATTATTAATCTTTGCTTTAGAATTAATGTTGCATAGCTGTCGCCCGCGACTCGATTCTCGCGGAATTAAAAAAAAACATGAAGTAGCCTGTGCGTTCTTTCAGACTATGTTCTACATGTATGATAAATTTCATCAAGATTCATTCTGCCTTTCTGGAGATACTTTCAATCATCCATCCATCTAAACCAGTGGTTCCCAAACTTATTTTGTCTACTGCCCACTTTGAGAATAAATATTTATTTAGCGCCCCCATATTTTCACATATTTAAAAACCACTATAACATCAAATTAAATTAATGAATTATTGTGACCTATATATGTATATTATCGGAGAATTCTAAACGAAACTTTTACTATAACTCGCAACTTGAGACCTGCAGCGCCCACAAGGGCGCGTTATCGCCCACTTTGGGAAAGACTGATCTAAACATTCGCATTTATATTATAATGTTAGGGAGATAATATACAACATATATGCGGAAATTAAAAAGATCAATCGATTTCAGGATTCTCTTCGTATAGGCACACATTCTAACACCAAAGTTGTTCATTAGAATGTCAGTAAGATAAATACCATAAAAAGCCAGTTTTCTTCGCGCGGCCCATTCATGAATGGTCACTGTTTACTCAACAACTTACTGTTTATTAAGTCTTTCTTAGAAACGCTTTCTTCCGACTCATGTGAAAATTAAACGTGTGTGATAGGCCCGTAAATATTCATTTGTTTACATTAAGATCCGGGTTCGATTTTCATATTTTAGTAAAATTATAAATGCGAATATTTAGATGGACCGATGGATGGATGTTTGTAAGAAGGTATCTCCAGAACAGCAGCATGGATCTCGCTGAAATTTGGCACAGATGTCGAATATAATTTGGTAGAACACATAGCCTCCTAATTAAGTTTTTTTTTAATTTAGCGCTAACAGAGTCACGGGCGACAGCTGGTGTCTTTATAAATTAAGACCGATATTTTTAAAGTTGAAGTTTTACACACAACAATAAATCTATGTCTTTGTGTGTCACAGTTTTTAAAAAATCTCAATACAATCGTAAATGAGGACATTAACACAGTAATTGTACATTTCTAGGTCAGTTTCAATTAACTTAGTTTGCACTATAAATCATTGTCGTGGGTCGTGGGATATTAGCGTAGCTTGCTTTAATTGTGTACTCTCATGGGTTTAAAGCACTGACCTCTATAGATATAGCCTGGTAGCTGCTTTGAAATGATAGCTTTTGCTTCGTTCTGACTTAAAAGAGCATGATTATATCAACAGATAGCATTAAGTGTCAGTAGCATTAAACATCAGTAGAATAGTAACATGCTGACCACTGCTACTAATTGCTACCGTCCGTGCCAAAATGGCGAAAATCAAATAGGCACAAAAACCACGAATTTTAGCCTGTCCTTATCTACAGAGGTCAGTTATTTAAAGTGTACTGTAAAAAGATTATTTTACAACGTAGATAAAATAAGTGATTTTTGAACGAAAATAATTGAATATTACGGCGTAAAGCCTTTTACAGTTTAGTTTCTGATTTCCTCAATTTACCGGATTTTTAATATTTTTAAATGACTATATTTAGTAGACAATTTTGTTGTATATAAACTGGTGATCAAACATGTCTTGGAAGCTTGGTATCTCGTGGACAAACTTGTTTCTCCGGGATGTTCCTCGGTCACGTTAGCTCTTCCATACCTCATTTGAAGAGTCGGAGTTACGCGTTCTACTTTCAACTGACGTCTGCAGAATGTATTCTGATTTACAAATGACGTTTAGAAAAAAAGTTAAAGTGTGTATTTATAACATGACTGAGCTTTTACTGCCAGTCATGTGTAACTTCCAGTAGTGATATGTTTTATGTCACTTATGCGCCCTTTACTGCATTTGTTTTACTAATGCATAGATTGAAGGCACATTTAGTTTTAAACCAAGTATGGATTTATACAGTATGGATATAGAGTAAAAACCAAATCGATTAGATCTCAGCTGAACGTCGTATAACTATGATTAAACTACTAATAATATTCGTCGTCGTCAGATCATATAATATTTGTCTCTATGGAGAGGTTCGGAGACTAACTAATGTTAGAGTGACTAGGCCACACTGGCCCAGTTCTGGCCAAGTTCATTAGCTACCTTCTCATAAAAGTATAGTCAAATCAGCCCAGTCGTTTCGAAGACTGCCCGGAACAAGCCTGGAATTGCGAACAAATAGACAGACAAAAATACTACGCGATTAAAGCACGCATGTAGAGTTTACACACACCTTGAAAGAAAGAAACCTTTTAATTAACTTTTCATAAAAATGTATTCAGCTTTTAACTACGAAGGATCAGATACAATCTTGGTCTATAAACTGGTCGTTATGTATCCGGCGCTTGCAAAAATATAAAAGAATCCTGTCACACAGGATTTATAGACTGCCTATGAGATATTTATCAATATTTAAATCCCTGTTATCTAGTAATTCAATCGCTAATTAATTTATAGATTTAATTATTGTTACAAATTGGTCAGTTTTTGCAGTGGCTATTTGATACAGCTTTAAATAATCCCTAGTACTAAAGACGCACGTAAATATTTGTTCTCTAAATCTGTATCACATGATAAAGTACAATAAAATAGTCTTCGTGTGATATCGAAAAATAATCATATTTAGTACACCTAATATTAGTATTAATGCTAACGAGAAACCAATTGCAAAATATTTTTGTTTGTCCGTCTGTCTGTCTGATTGTCCACGAAGCCGTGTTTGTTCCGGGTAATCTCCGAAACCGATGGCTTGATTTTGATATGACTTTGACGGGAAGGTAGCTTATGCGTGGGCATAATGTATTAGACTACTTTTTTTAAAATATAATATGACGAAGTCAGGGGCGACCGCTAGTCTATAAATAAAATAGCAAACTAATAATAGTTGCATTACTTCAAAGCGTAACAATATTTCATTAAAAGTGAGATGGTACAGCAATTAAGGCGGAGTACAGTTTTAAGAATTGAGTCAATTTCTCAAACACCATAATGGAGGACGGATTATAACCATATATCATAGCGATAAAATCTAAATATAATTTAACCCTATTTCTTTGTAATTAAAGTGTATTTTAAGATACCAAAAATATACTCTAGCCAGATGTAATATTTTTTAAAATGAAGAAATTTATAATATTAATTTTAACACATATCGTGCCACTGATTCCTGGCGAATGATTTTCATACGACAAAAAAGTATGGCATGGAACGAGATGACTATTTTTAAAATATTAAAACTGACGAACATTTTCCGTTGTACTAAGTGTAAACGCACAGACGCCTTAAATATACCTCTAGATTACTGGCACAAGTGTTGTAGTTGCCAATCTCAATCCAATGTAATGTAGTACTCGGTGTGTCATGAATTTGTAGGTAATTTAAGCTATGTTTACACTAACGCTGGCGACAGTGTAGGCGGACCCTTACCGGTGACCGCTTGCCCTCGACCCGGGTCGCACGGTCAACGCACTGTATAGCTGTGTCGCATGCATTCTACAATACTTGACGTTTTTGCGGACTTATAACTAACAGCATGTTTTCACTGCTGAAACATTAACACAAAAATGTTTTTGTTATCTCTCTCATTCTATTTAAAAAATATTGATAACGATATGAAGGTCTTTCAGTGTAGATGAGTTCTTAAACATTACTAACATTACAAATGCGAATGTTTGGATGTATGGATAATTGTTTGTAAGAAGGTATCTCCAGAACGGCTGCATGGATGCCTGGAAGAGCCCAAAGGCTACTACTTAAGTTTTTTTTTAAATTCCGTGTGGATGGAGTCACGGCCGACCGCTAGCGATATAAAATAAATCTTTGAAGGGTACTGTACTCAAATAAATTTTC